CGCAACGGCAGTGCCGCGGGGAGAGCTGTCCCGGAGCTTCCCAGGTCCCAGAGCCTGCGGCTTCCTGCGCTGTAAAGTTGGCGGGCGGTACTCTGCCCCCTCCACCTTGCGTACTCAGCTTCCAGCAGAGCAGTGAGTCAGGGAATCAAGAATACGGAATACTTACTGTGTGTAAACCAGTCCCGTGGGATAAAACCCACTCTCTGTCTTCATCTGCTTATTTACTGAGGAGTGATATTATGCTTTGTTTTGTACCGAGCAAAGACCCAGGCAAAGAAATCCGTGGAGGCCAAAGAGGTGTTATGCAGTCTTAGCACTTTACAGAGAAGTTTATTATTGCCATTTTTCAGATAGAGAGCAGAAAATTAAAATAACTTTATGGAACCACCAGCAGATCTCAGAACAGTATTCAGCTTTCCCAAGCCCAGCATCCTCAGCATTACGCACTGGGAAAGGATGATGTTTCTAATGATTGTTTACAGATGTGCTTTCATGGGAATTCACAGTCATTACTTGTGAAAGGGCAAAAGCAGCGTAGCAGACAGCAAAGCACACTACACTGTAAACTGATATAACTGTAGCTCAGTTTTCTGACCCTTAAATCTCCAGCTTAGATGGCTATTGCGTTCTGTTTGTCTCATCACATTGATTTTGAAAAGAAATGTTGTTCAGCTTTTGCCTTGATTGACATTTAAGGACCGTAAATAGCATAGACAGTAGTTTCCGCATGTGGAAGGGAAAATATGTCTGTAAAACATAGTATCGAATAATGTACTTTCAGTGAATGCTTCTGTAAACTCAGTACTTTTTGTTACTTAAAGCTGGAAATAACCATTTCAAGGCCCATGCCAGTAGTGCTTAATCATGTGATCAGTCTTTATTCGTGTAAAAAAAATCCCATTGACTCAATGTCTCTCATTACATAAGTAAGGAATTTGGTAATTTGGCTAATTATAGCTGTGGTCATTATACAGATTAGTAAGGGGTTGTTTATTTATATTTACTTTTTAAAATCATCCATACGATTGAATACAAGATTACATAAATAGCATGTGTAAAACTATATTGGTGAGGGGAGTGAGTAAGAAAATATGTTATTTCCATTTTAAGCCTGTATGTTGGTGGGGAAATATAAGAATACGTCACCTTTATTACCTAAAGAAAAGTTTTTCCATGTGTTGCAAGATGTGATGATTTGAGTCCTGTCCCTAGTGCTCTTACAGGTGCAGAGGAAACAGTGTGTGAATGACATTGCTCTGAAGTAGAGAGGGCTTTGTAGCATCTCCTGTTTCACCTGCCTCTATATAGGGCTTGACAGGACATCTGCCGTATGTCTCCATTAGCTGGTTCTCAGAGAGGTTATAGAGGTCAGCTCTTGGCAGCAGGAGTTTGAGGTCCTGTCTTACCCTGGGTGGGTCTTTTCCAATGCTTTGGCTGGGCTGTTGGATGTCACCAGTAGAAGTGTCTGGGTGAGGAGATTTTCCCTGTGGGGAAGGACATGGTGAAGACCTGTGCAAGAGGGGTCTTCTGCCACTACAGACCTGGGAGTGCCTTCCTGGTCAGTCCATCAGATTATAGTCCTTCTTGTTGTCTCTGGCCCTCCAGGCTCCCATGTCCATGAGAAAACTTCCTAATAGTTGCCTGAACAATTTTTACTTGCTGCTTTTCTCCCTGTACTTGATGCTCAGACCTTGATATACACTTATGGCTTGATATCTGTCCCTAGATTCATAATCACAATGTTGGGTTCTCCTAATGTGACTAGCTGTACTCTAAACGTATTAGGCATGCATACTTTTGTCTTAATACAAATTTTGCTTTGTTTTTGAAGCAATAATGTACATGTACAGCATGGAGAGTCTCTCCATGTGAAAACAGCTTGTTGTTACTGTAGTGCATGGGAGTTTTGAGGGATGTGGTCCCTACATTTGGCTCTAGCTAGCCACAAAGTTAGTCTCCTCTGAATAAGTGTTTCAGAGAGTGTAGACAGTTTGAGGTTATGGTTTGTTATTTTTGTTCTTCCTGCTGTAGCCCATGAAGCCAGAGATACTAAAGAAAGGGATGCAGGGCAGTAAACATTACATGTCCTACTGTGGAAAAATATTGGGGGTTTTGAGCCAAGTGGAAATGCTTTTTCAGCTATGTTGACTTACCACTGAGTAATAGCAGCACTGCAGTCTGCACCCCCACACACAGCACAAGCATCTCTGTACAGTAGCTCTGCCACTCACAAAACACAAAGAGCCTCAAGAAGAATAACAGAAGTCTGTCGTTGAGTGCTTGCTCTGTGACAAATTCCTCATTTACCATATTTGGCTACCGTAAGTATGGGACTGATGCTCACACAGCTTGTAATTCTTCGGGTTCTTTCTGTACTCTATTGACCATCACTTCTCAGAATATATGGGCTGCGGAAATCTGAAATGGTCATTATCTGCTCTTTTTGGCATCTTATCAAAACAAGAGCTTGAAACGTGCTGAAAGTTCAGCAAGTTCATGTGGGATTACACTGTGCAATTATCAATTAGTCAAGTTTCCAGGATAATTTTCCCTCCCCTTGATCTTGCGTTCTTTTATCCTTACTTTGATTTAAAAGCGGTTTTTTTGAACAATGATGAAATTTCCTTATTTATGAATAAATTCTCTTTTATATCTCAGTAAATTACAGCAGTAAATGAGTGGGATAAGATGGTCAGTGTCTGTATCTGAGTAATGCAGAGAAGCTAGTGAGTATGAGCTTTAAAAACCATCATCTATAACAGGCTCAGTTGGACTTCATCCACACTGTGCTTGTTTTAGGCAAAACTGCAGCCAGAGTCCCACCTCTGAAAGTGCCTTCTGAATCTCTGCAGAAGTAATAGTTCTGTGATATAAGGACACTAACGTGCTAATAAAAGTATCTTTTTTCATTTCAGATGTCTTCTAGAAACATGGCTGGCCAATACATCCTTCCTCAAGCTTTGTATCATAGCAATATGCTGAAGGCTATGAAGATTAGAGAGAGGACACCTGAGGATCTAGTCAAACCTCCCATTGGAATAATTCACCACTTCAGGACTATGCACAGATACACCATAGAAATGTTCAGAATGTGCCAGTTTTGCCCTCAATTTCGGGAAACACTTCAGAAATCCCTGACTGACCAGGCTACCCAGACTTCACTGGAGCGCCAGAGGAAGCTCAACTGGTGCATGGAAGTTCGGAGACTCGTTCCTTTGAAGACTAATGGTAAGTTATGAGCAGGTCTTTGCATTTGCAGTAAAATGGTTAATATCAATGTAGCATCTTTATTAATAGCATCTGTGTTCACATTACTGAAACAGAAGTGCATGGCTTTAAAAATGTGGTACCTTTTAATCTTAGTTTCATGAACTGAAATTCTTTCCACATGATGTACTGCCCTGAGGCTGCAGCAGACCCCTGTCCATACCACAGTGTTGTGAACAGCGTCGAAATTTCACAGATATTTTCATAATGTCAGTAACTTTTGGCACTTCGGAGTAAAGTACCAGGCAGGGAAATTTGACTTGCAACCCATCGCCTTTCCATGAATCTGACTGCTATGTGTTGGCTGCCTCATCGGAAGTGCTGAACGTCCTTTAATGCCAGGCAAGAGGAGACTTCAGATGCTTTGAGTGACAGGGATGCATTCCCATGTATATATAGCAGGAGTTAATAATCTTCCATAAGCCCTGCTGTTCTAGCTGGCAGGCAGGGTTTGCTTGCTGATCCAGCTTAACAACAGTGCCAGGAGGAGTGTTCTGAACATGGAGCCTTTGAGAACCTGACACTGCTGGCCCTGGGGTCAGCGCCCTGCACCTGGCTGGCTCCCTCATCCTCAGCTACCTGCTAGGTTTTGCCAGCTCTCGCCTCTCCTCGGGGCTCACCCATGTGTGTGTGGCTGATAGCCGTCTTTGTGCAACACAAAGTTTGCAGTGGCCATTTCTTTCAACGGTCAGTGCTGGTTTTAGGACTTGGCTTTTGGGTTGCTTTGTGTGTGTATTGCGCTAAGTGCTATAAACGAAAAGGTACAACAGTAGTGCAAATATTTCCTGAACAGGTTACATTTGTCCAGTCTCGAGCAGGAGACTTTGGCTCATGACTGCAAGAGTCACTGGGCATTTCACATTCAGTGGAGGAAAGATTCAGTAACGGCTATGACTTATGGTCACGCAGCTGCAAACTTGGACTCGGGCTTCCTTACAGCACAGATTGCCCCAAACAGGGAAGGATAGACTGGGACAGTGAGGACCCCAAGAAGATGGAAAATACACATTCTTTGTTTAAGGAGCACATCACAGTGGTTATAGAAACATTGTGCGTGGTGGACCTGCAGCTTCATTAGAGTCCATGCTGTGTTCTGTGAATGCTTCTATTTATATCTACTTATATACACTTTGTCCTTATCTTGCTAGGTCACATTGTTCCCATCCCAAATTCTACCATATTTCTCAGTCTGATTACACACAGCTGTGTTGTGCAGAAGCCTTAAAAACAGAGCCATGTGTAGATGTCACTGCCTCAATCTAGAAGAGCCTGATCTGGATGTGTGTCTCTGTAGCTGTCATAGAGGCACTGAGCTTCTGGTGGGCTGCCTCTCGTGACTGTAATTAGGGTTGTGCAGGAAGGTCACGTAATCTTGAGCTTCTGGAAGGACTGGGAGTTGAATCTAGGGCAGGCAGCACTTTACAGGTACTAGGGCAGTAACAGCACTCGAAGTGTTGCATCTTCAAAACTTCACCCCAGGAGATACACTGTAACAGATATACTAGGAAGATGGATAACGTGCAATTTTTGCTCAGGGTTTTAGAATCCCCCATCTCCTGTCAGTCAATATGAGTCCTGCAGGGACACTACTTGGACAGACCCTTGTTGCTGACAATATTATATTCACTGACCTCTTTCTTTGTCTCATGACTGTCAGCCAGAGGTACACATGGGAACAATATGGACTTGGATCCCACCCATGAGCAGGCATACTAGTGAATATACAATATGAAATATTAGGGCAGGCTGAGGGAAGGCAAAGCAAGGAGTCGGTTTGTGGTCCCCCATACCCTGCACAGTTGATGATCTTGGCTTCAGTGCAGTGCTTCAGGGTCATTAAGTGCATGAGTAGAAGGAGTGGCTTTGGGAACCTGTGGTTTATGCAAAGCAGTCGCATTGAAAGACCTATGCAGGAGAAAAAAGTTAGATTGGTCTGAAGGAGAGGATCTCTGAAAGAAGGGCAGAAGACTGGAGAAGCCCTGTATTATCCCAGAAAATAAGGTGGGTTTTTTATCTCCCATGTGAAACGAAGAATATTTTTTAAAGCATTTAGCTGCTTAGCCCATAGATATGGGAGGAATGTGTTAGTTCTTTCAGTCAACAGTGGGCTTTCTTTAGAAAATTCTGGGTTTTTTTCTGATGAAGATTCTAGTTGCTGAAAACAGAGAATGTATCTCCTACAAGATCTTTTGACGTATTTTACCTAATATGTTTGTGAGTCTGTGGAGTGGTGGGGTTTTTTTTTATTAAAAAGGCCCTTTTGAATCACCACACATTTCTTTGCAGACATCTGAATGGAGGAGAGAAGGAGAGCAGTAGGAGGTATAAAAATCGAAACTGTTTGTTTTTTTTCTAATTTTTTTTTTTTATTTAAAAATTCCAGCATCTATTGGCTGTAGAGATTTCACTTGTATAATGAATTGGCATTCATTCCAGCTTGCCCAGCCACACCCCCCGGGAAAGTCCGAGGGAGGCTTTGCTGCACAGCCCTGCACGCAGCAGAACAAAAAGTACAACTGTTGCTCAATTGCTAGTCAAACGGTGTGGGGGAATTCCAAGTGCTGTGTAAGGAATTTTGAGCAGCACTTCTCAATAAAGAACTGAAAGCAAGCTCTCAGAGAGAAAAAAATTAATCTTATCTTTGCTCTAGATTTTGCAAAGGGAAAATTTTAATGGGATTAATATGTCACCTTTCTTGGTCAGAAAGAAACCCAGTCGGTTTTCCTGTCTTCTGTGCTGTTCCCTGATTTTTGAGCTCAAGTAAGCAGCCTGCCAACTTGAAGTAAGCTTTGCAAGACAGCATTCAGAAACCAGAAGGCAGTTGCAGGAACCTGATATTCGCCAATTCCATAACAATTTATTGAGCATTGAGTAGATTTCAAATTATATCTTTTTCAGGATCTGAGGTCTGTTGTAGGTTTTTCTCTGCAGTTTCACATGAAAAGGAGCAAAAGTGTTTGCAAATGGTGTAATTGAACTCATAATGAGTGTGAGAAACTGGGTTTAATTATTTTGTGGGAGTTCTTTGGGTGTTGTTTTTTATTTTAACACATGAGAAAAATCTAGTAGGTTTACCAGGGCTGATGTCCTCTGTTCCAAGAAAATTGCTGTGGCTTCTTCGCATTGGTTGAGTCTGTGTACCTCTGTTGCAGAGAGTTTTAAATCTAAGGCTATGACAGTAATGGTTCTTGATGTCCCTTTCAGTGGAGACATCCCCATTTGAAGAAGATGGCTAGAGACAGAATTTGAAACCCAGCCATAGAAATATTTTGTCACACCTTTTAATTAAGTTTGTTACCTTCTCTAATTGTCAGTTTCTTGCCTTCTGAAATTATAGAATTTCACTTTCCTTCCTACCTGTAAAGAGGACTTCTTCAATGCAGAGAGATCATCTAAATGAAAAATCATTTTGCCATTCATTTAGTTTCAATTTTGTGTTTTAAAAAGCAACCCTCTAAATCACATATGTAACAGCCCAGCATACTACCATTTCTGAGAGGAAGAGTTGTTCCTATGATTGCTTTACTTAAATCACCTGCTCTTCCCTCTCTGTCTCTTCTTTTTTTATAGCAGTTCCTCCATTAAGCACAGCCAAGTGCCAAGCAGTGCTCATCAGCGGATGTGAGGCTTGGTGCCACTATATTATTTTCTAAGTGGTTTCCATTATCTCAACCCTGTGCCACTGGGTGTATATTCGTATAAACACTGATGAGGGAGATCTACATGTTCTTTTGTAGTTTTAAGATGACTTTGTTTAAAAGCTATTTCAACTGTGTTTGACATTTGTTGGCCCCAAAATTTAGTTCATGATACCAGTCAAAGTTAAGTAAGGTAGATTAGGGACATTGCTGAACAACAGCTTAATGCTGACTGGTGCAGAGACAAAACCAGTAGAGAGGGGACTATTTTCCTTTCTATCTCTGAACAGAGGTTATAGCTGTGGTCTCTGTCCTTGGTAAAACACTTCTGTCTGAGGCTTAGAGAGAAGTGCATGGGGAATATGCATATGTGCAGTGTCATTCTACATCCCACACACTTGTGGGGTTTTATTTGAGTAGCCATTTAAAAATAACACACTGTTTCTTTTTTTCCAGGTGATGGAAATTGCCTCATGCACGCTGCATCGCAGTACATGTGGGGTATTGAAGATATCGACCTCGTTTTAAGGAAAACATTGTTTAGTGCTCTCAGGGAGATTGACACACGGAACTTCAAGCTCCGCTGGCAGCGGGAGGCTATTAAATCCCAGGAGTTTGTAGAAACAGGACTCCACTATGACACCCGGGTAAGGTGGCTTGAGGGAGTGGTGCTGTTTTCTGAATGCTCACTAGTGTTGCCTTGCTGATTGCGTTTGCTTTTTGGCTTCATGGATTCTGCCATTAATGGAGAGCAGAAATTGTCTTCCTTTGGATGAAATGGGAAAATGTGATTATTTGAGCACTGCTATGCTGCAGCTGGTTCCCAACCTCCATGTCTTTGAACGATTGCTGACAGCTGTTTCTTTCCTCAGAACTGGGAGGAAGAATGGGAATACCTCATTGAAATGACCTCCCCAGAAATATCTGGGGCTCAAAACAGGCTTCCATATAATGCACTGGAAGAAATCCACATCTTCATCCTTGCTAACATCCTCAGAAGGCCAGTTATTGTCCTTGCAGGTGAGTTGTGTGGACAGTCATCTCACTGTGCTACTCTGTGCTGTGTTACTAATGTTACTCAGTAATTGTTGTTTTCAGGTTGATGCATTTCCAAGCAGGGTGTTTTCAGCAATTATACTAAAACACCCAGAATCTATCTTCTCTTGCCTGTAGCACATACTTATTTGTGTTTGTGTTTTCCTTTATTTCCTTGTGCAGATAAAGTCGTGAGAAGTTTAGAGTCAGGCTCCAGTTTTGCTCCTCTGAACGTTGGTGGTGTTTACTTGCCTCTCCTTTGGCCAGCTGAAGAATGCTACAGATACCCAATTGTGCTCGGGTATGACAACATGCATTTTACACCACTGGTGACTCTGAAGGACAGTGGGCCAGGTATTTTTTAAGTTCCTTGTTTGGTATTTATGTCCCTTCTTCAATTACCATTTAAAATGTAATCTGGTTTAGATTTGCATTTTGAAAGTTAAATATATGTAGAAGATTACTTCGAAATGTGTTCTTAAAATGTGAGCAAACCCAGCTTTTTCTGTAAATTCGAGGAGAACCTAAAGGTTGCCTTCAAAATGCTGGTTGCAAGTAGAGTGCAACTCACCTGCTTGCAGGCTGGAATTAGACAAAGGGTGGCCTCTGCTTCATTGCTTCATTGTGTTCTGGCCTCCTTTCCACACCACATCATAAGAGCAGAAGCTTTCAAGGGTGCAATCTCACAGCAGTGTATCACTGACTGGCAGGGATAATGAATATAGACTTTGCTGGTTTTAATGCATCTCTTCTGAGTGGATAGCAGTTCTCTAGGTTCAGCTTACAGCATCATCCCATGGAAAGGCATAACAAACTAACATCTACAGTGCTACTCACATGGAGAAGAAAATTGCTAAGGGGACATTAAAACTACCATAGGATGGGGCTAAGTTTGTGATGTAGGTGTATCTGTGACCTCCCCCAGTGGCACTATATAGAAACTTATTGCTCTGGCCAGCTGTTTTCTCTCACAGAAATTCAGCAGCAGTGGTGACATCTCTGTGGTTGCATATTGTGCTTACTCCTGTCTGGTAAACAATACATATATGTATGCTAATCCATCTTGTTTCCCCACAGAAATTCGGGCTGTCCCTCTGGTCACCAGTGAACAAGGCAGATTTGAGGATCTGAGTGTGCACTTTCTGACAGATACAGAAGAGAGGGAGAAAGAGCAGCTGCTAAAAGACTACTTGATTGTGATAGAAATTCCAGTGCAAGGCTGGGATCATGGTACAACTCATCTAATTAATGCTGCAAAGTGAGTGTCATTCTTGTTTCCTCAAAGTTATCTTGTTTATGGAGGTGGGAGAACCTGGGCAGCCCAGTGCATTCCTTTGGTCTTTCCTTCCTTCCATGGTAGTCCATGTGTTTACGTTCTGAAATATTGGCGTTACTGTTGACATGTTTTGAACTAATATGAGCTGAGACTAGTTACAAATTTAAAGGCAAAAATGTCTTCAGACTTAGCAGACTGAAACTAGTATTTTAGAAAAAAGATCAATTTGATTATTTTCACTGAATTTTAGATTACACAGGAGGGTGACTGAAAAGCAGTTAAATGCAGGAACCAGTTAGACCAAACTCATGTGCTTTATGTAAGGGTGCATTGCATAACAGGCAGTTGGTGCAATTTTGCCTACCCTAAGGAAAGTCCTTGGTGGTATCTTCTTAGCACAGATGCCTCAACACCCTGAGCTGTTCATGTGGCAGTAGGCAGGAAGCTGTGGTCAGTGGAGAAACCAGCATCTGTGCTCATCCCCCTGATGGCTGAGCATCAGTAACATGCAGGGAGCAGCTGGCAGCACCCATCAGCTTCTCCTATTTAGTGGACACTGGCAGTGATGTCCAACCAGTCTCCTCATGAGTGTGGGAGGGAAGCGACTCCCTGTGTTCTCTGTCTTTGCTTCCATTACCACACAGGGAGATATCTTTATGCTGTTGGCTGGTTCTGGTTTAGGAGCCTTGAAAATTGAAATCCTTCTATCCAAGGGATATATGCACATGTAAAGCTTCTCTAGTCCCACTGCACAGATGTGTTCTGGAGTGTTACTAGTAATGCCAGTTCCTTTTCCTACCAACTGTGACATGGTGAAGCTCCAGTGTGGGGATTTTCCTGAAGCTGGAGGTAGAATAGGGATAGTGTGATGGATGCTAGCATTGCACACACCACACTGAAGCCCCATAGTTTGTCTGAAGAATTCAGTTGGTAGGTACAGACCCGACAGGGCAGAACCAGGAGCAGATTTCATGTATCATGAAATGCTGAGTCCACTGTAGGAAAGGCTTGTTCTTACCATGGACTGGTGAAGAAAGGGGCCTTGTAATCTAAACTATACTCAGCTGAGCACTGGTCTTCAGAGACATTCAGGATTTGGGGGACTTTTCACTTCTGAAAGATCACCCATATTCTTTGTGCAAACAGCTCTTAGACAGAAAACTCTCACCTAGAAAATCCTTTTAAGAATACTTCTGTTTAGCATTGTGTCAGAACATTTCTTTAGATGTGAAAGTCTTCACCACTGAACACCTGCTTTTAAAATAATTTCCGTTCACAGCAACAATGTACCATCCTGAATCTTCTCTCTGAGTAATATGGATGTGCATTAAACCTACATTTCCTCCCCACGTTGCTTGTGTTTGTCCCCTCCCCCCCACCTGCTCTTTTCAACCACTGATGCAATCTTCCTTTTTGGCTCTTAGGTTAGATGAAGGCAACCTACCCAAAGAAATAAACCTCGTGGAAGATTACTTTCAGCTGGTACAGCATGAGTACAAGAAGTGGCAGGAGAATGCTGAACCTGCTAGAAGAGAGACCTGTTCCAGGAACAGGCAGGAACTGTCGCTTTCCCAGCTCTCCCTCTTACAGATGAAATGTGAAACACTGAATTGCCCTTTCTACATGTCTGTGAACACCCAGCCCTACTGCCATGAATGCTTTGAGCAGAGGTCCCAAGGAAACAAAGGAAGAAAGCAGACCTCCAAAGCAGCACCTGAGAAACTGAAGGCAGCTGGGTCAGGCTCCTCTCGTGGGGATATTTGTGAACCTGGGGGACGGACATCTGAAGGGCCTGTAACAGAGCCTCGCTCCGCACCTCCAACCGCTCCGAGTCTTTTCTTGTATAGTGAGACCACAGCCATGAAATGTAGGACACCAGACTGTCCCTTTACATTGAACGTGCAACACAATGGGCTGTGCGAACGCTGCTACAACTCCAGACAGCTTGGCCCTTGCAACAACTTGGATGACCGGAGACATTTAGACTATGCCACCTGCAAAATGTGCTATCAGAAGGCCAACAGGACCTTCAATGGTATATGCAGCACTTGTTTCAAAAGGTCTACAGAGCCATCCTCAAATGGCAGCCCCACTTTTCTGCCCACCGGCCACCAGAGGTCAACATCTGACCCATCCCAGATCTCACAGATCCTCCACCAGCACTCCTGCCATCAGGCTCCCAACAACCACGGTGAGGAGCCCCCACCACCGGCGCTGCCTCCCGAGGAGAACAGGGGAGGTAACCTCTGTAGGAAACCTGGCTGCAAGTTTTTTGGGACATCGCAAAATGAGGGCTTTTGCACGCTGTGTTTCTTTGAGTACAGGGAAAACCATGGTAAGTGGAGATGGAGTGAACTTTGGCACATTTTGGCTGCAGATCAGCATCCTTGAACTGTGAAGCTCTGCATGCACTGGGTGCTAAAAGTGCAGGGGGTGGTGTAAACAGTGTGGATCAGAAGCAGCAGTGTGAGAAGAAGGTGCTTTTCTGGCTGTTACTATCCTATTGTCATAGTTTAACCCCAGCCAGCACCCAAGCACCATGTAACCACTCAATCACTCCCTCACCAGCAGAACTGGGGAGAGAATCAAGAGGGTAAAAGTTAGAAAACTCATGGGTTGGGAGAAAGGTAGTTTAATAGTGAAAGGCAAAGCCATGCATGCAAGCAAAGCAAAACAAAGAATGAATTCACAGCTTCCCATGGACAGGAGGTGTTCAGCCATCTCCAGGAGAACAGGGCCCCATCATGCCTAACAGTTACTTGGGAAGACAAACATCTGAACGTACTGCCTTTCCTCCTTCTTCCCCCCACTTTATTTACTGAGTATGATGTTATATGGTATGGAATATCCCTTTGGTCAGCTTGGGTCTCCTCCCAGCCTCCCATGCACCCCAACTTCCTTGCCAACATGTCAGTACATGCTGATAAGCATGCCAGTATAAACATAGAAACAGAATGGATTGGGTTGGGACCTTTAAAGATCATCTAATTCAATCCCTCTGCCATGGGAAGGGACATCTTTCACAGCACTGAGCTTTCTGCACGCTTTCAGATTAGGAAATTTTTACGCCAGCTTGCAATAGGTTATTTTCCAGTGTTGCTCACAATGAATTTTTTTTCCTTATGATTGTGGAATATATAAGATTGCCTCACAAGACTAAAAGTATGATGCACTTTTTCCCACATACCTCTGTACTTCAATTATCCCATGTGACTGAAATGGGGGAGGCCAAAAGGGAAGTGTTAGGGTAGGTCACTGATGGCATGCTGAGTCAAAGGTGAAATTCCTCTTGACTTCAGTGGGATCTAGGTTTCCCACTTAGGGCAAGTTTTTCCCAAATCATCTGTTTCAATGACTTCTGATAGGAAAATCAGGCCATATTAGCTCCCTTATTTATGTAACATGAGGGAAAGTGCACCAACTGAGGAGTCTCATGATTGTCAAAAACTGATGTTTGAGACTAGCAGATTTTTTTAAATGTCTTTCCATTTTTAGACTGGGGAGCTTTTTATAGTTGCTTTGGGTCATCACATCTATTGGGCACATTCAAATTCCTCCTGTCCTTACTTTGCATTACAGACAGTGCTTTACTACGCCACCAGAGAAGATCTCAGAGGAAGTCTTCAGCAGCAGGTCAGATGGGGACCTCGGCTGCCGGCTTCCGTAATACTGTGTCCTGCCAGCGGCGTGACTGTGGCACCCTGGGCAGCACAATGCTCGAGGGCTACTGCCAGAACTGCTTCATTATAGCCCAGAACCAGCGATTTCAGGAAGCCAGGAGGACAGAAGAACAGCTGGTGAGACAGCCAGAAGTAAGTGTGAACTTGTCTTGTTTAGCTCTGCATGTTTTTCTCTTCTGTGAACAGCTTAGGATGCATACTAGAAAATCCTTAAATGACTGCATCCTAAGTATCATGGAGAGACAAGTGTAGAGCATTTCATGATTTCTTTTTCTGCTGCAACTGAGTAGCAATCCTAAAAAGTCACTCTCAGTTTAGGGTTGTTACAGCCATTCTCAGTTTTACCTCAGCTGGGATTTTGCCAGCAATTTCAGTGGACACAATTGAACCAACAGTTGGGTTGTTTTCTGCTTTGGGAAAGATTTTCATTCTTACTCTTACAGCTATGGTTTAGTTCGCTTCAAGTTGCCTTTTTGATTGAGTCCATTACAGATTGGTTTTGTTCCAGATATTGGGGTTTTTTGGTTTGTTTTGGCCGTTTTAGAATTAAAAGTTACCAAAGGTAAAAAAATTTCTTTTTCCTAAGAAGTTACAAAATTTGGTAAAATTCAGCTTGGTTCCTGGTACTGCACTTTGCAGAAGCAGCATGTACCTGTGAACAACCCCCAAGTGGTTACCTGTACAAACCATGACCAGAGTTGAAAGTAAATGAAAAGCCATTTGTGCTGATAGCACGGTGACTGACAATGCGTTTTTATGTTTTTCAAGAGAACGGAACAGCACAGAGATGTGCAGCGAGCAGTGTTGAGTAGCCAGAAGAGACAGTGTGCTGTGGCTTCATGTAGAAACAACCTGGCTGGCAGAAGTGATGACCTGTGCCCGGAGTGCCGGCGCCTCAGTCAGCTTCCACCGCTGGGCAGTGCCAGGAACCCGGCGGCACCGGAGCCCCCGAAGCAACGCTGCCGAGCCCCTGCCTGTGATCACTATGGCAATGCCAAGTGCAACGGGTACTGCAACGAATGCTACCAGTTCAAACAGATCTATGGCTAGTGGAGGAGTTGGTAAGGAACAAGAAAGCAATACCAGCTACTTCCTTCACTGAAATGGTGCTATGTCCAAAACACTTAACAGTCCTGGAAATGGGAGGGCAGGGGGAAATATAAGCTGTCTGCTTGGTTAGTGTTTATTCCCAAGAATGGGAATAAACGTCTACTTCCTCTAAACACTGCATACAAGGACTGCTGAGAAGAGCACATTGCCTTCTGCACAGAGCTGTCATTCATGACTAAGCTCCTACAATGTCATATTTAATTCTCAGACTTCCCAGGAGGAAGTGTGAAGCATTTGAATCCAAAGAACTTCCCGGTTTTGTCTCTTTCGCAATACCCTCCCTTCTCCCAGGTGAGAAGCTGTGGCTACTATCGGAGGTGCAGGAGCTCTTTATGTTTGCATACATCAGTCAGAGGCAAGTCATTCCTGAGTGGGATTCCCCAGGACAGGCTGATGCAACTTCCAGTTGGTGCCTGAAGAAAGTTGCTCTAGGTTGCCCATGTCCTTGCTGTCCTTGAAGAGCCCACCAAGGTGGGATTAGGGTGTTAACAGCGAGTGGTTCTGTGTTTGCAGAGCCCTCAGCAAGCCGCAGCCAGAAACAAGACCAGCACTGGTCTGCTCTTTTAACATGCTTAACTTAACCAGCATTTAGATCCTTTCCCAAATCCCAAGACAGCTGGAATGACAGGTGATTACAGAAGCAACTGTTATGAGAAACTATATCTGATGGGAAAACTGTATCCTGCCATTTCCCACTTGAATTTGCCTCCAGCAGACAAAAAATACCCCAAAGCCCTTTGCCTTCAGCTTCAGTTCTGAAACAAGAGCAACTATTCCCTCTCTTGCATCACAACTGTCAGGAGTATGTGTGTGCTGTTCTTGCCCTCCCTCCCCATTTCTGTCGTCCTTAATGTGATTCTGTTGTCGTGCAAAGAGCTTGGAGTTCAATACCAGAATTCTTTAGGTTTGAGATTTTACTCCTCGATTATATGCATCCAATTCTCAATCTGCAATACTTTCTTTAGCACCTCACCTTTACCATTGTGCCCTGTACCTGCTTCTCCTTTCACTCCTTTTAAGTTTTCAGCATCTGTTTTGCTGCTATGATTTTGGAGGTAATACCTCTTCTAACTTGCTTCTCAAGTTTAGAATCTTTTTATGGTTATTAAAAAAACAGTTTTAAAAAAGAAAAAAAACATGACTTCTGTTAAATTTTATATATTTTGTGAACCCTAATGTGAACATATGTTTTATTAAAATATTTATATTATTTGAAACAATGCAATTTGAAATTTGCACAGCTAGGTTTTTTTTACGTATATTTACTCTTGTGTTGAAAGTTACAAACTGAAGTGTATATTGAAAAACATTCTCTGATATATAGAAATAAATTATTGAAGGATCGAAGTTGTTATTTTTATATTGATGAGAGAGTACAGTTGAGCATGGGATACCCCTGAAGGAAGCTTTTCTGTTCAGGACCACCATTCAGCGTTACCAAGTGCTCCCTGGTTCAGATGATCCAGCCAAGTGCTTTGAAGACGTGGTAATTTGCTGTAAGTCAGTGTTCTCTCAGGAAGAGAGCTGGTACTGTTGAGGGACCTGGGGATATGGAGGTAACTCCTGTGGGTGCAGAGTATCTTCAGACCCCAGAAGTACAGATGGTGCAGGAGCAGGCTGCATCAAAGCTAGACTGACTTGGCTTTCTTTGTTCATCCATCAGTTACGTCAGGGATTTCCAACCAATGGTGCTTGAGTGCCACCTTGGGAGGTGGCGATGGCAGCACATGATTCACATCTCTGCCCAGCCACGTGTGCAGCATTGAAGGCAGAGACCAGCCCTATCACCTCCCCTCTATCAGAGACAGCAGGGATGCCTTGGCATTGGGGTTCCTCAATAGCTCCTGAAGAGCAAGTTGCCAAGTGCTGCTTGAAAAAGTACTTGAAAGCAGTGTTTTCTTCTCATTCCAAGCTGAGCCTAACCAAGCCTTATTGCCAGGGGATTTCTGCAGTGTAACTCCTGTGTGGCACTCAGGTGTCTCAGATCTCTGCCTAGACAGGCAACACTGTACACTACCATGGCTTTTAGGTGTTGCTCATGACCTGACAGAAAAAAATAATGAGTCAGGGCTGCAAATGTCCCAGTGCAGTCAGGAAAGAGGACCCTTTCCTAAGAGACTGACCTCTCCAGGTCAGTTGCTGTCTATCCTGGTTAACTCTTTAATCCCTAGCCCAGCTCTCTCTGCACTCACATCTCTCCTTTCAAAGCATTCAACCTAGAAGTCAGCCTACTCCCCATAGCACAGACCGTGCTGGACCTACCAACCCCATCTCTACAGCATATTCTTTCTACAGAATCTCACCCTCTGTTGACCGGTTCTCCTTTCCCCTTTCTTTACAATTCATGCAACATGCATGCCCATGCAATTCACTGAACTTGCATCAGGCAGACGCCTTGGTGGTGAAAGAGCTGGCGAAGATTGGGAGGGATGTCTGTAGCCAGGCAGCAGGAGATGCAGGCAGCTCTAGGTATCCAGTCTCATCAGCCATCAGCCTCTGCTCATTGAAAAGACACCCTCCATCCACAGTGTCAGGAGGCTGATTTATTCTAGTTGCTGTTAATTGCAACTTCTGCAGAGAGTAAGGATTTCAGATTAAATACCCCAAATCCCACTGATTTTTCTCTGCAGCTTTTTGGGCCCATTACTCATAACCCTTGAGTCACATGAGGCTGGTCTCATTCTGAAGCTCCCATGTAAATGAGTGCCCAGCCTGTCTCTTGTGGTTTACTTGTGTGGGAACAGTAAAGCTAGTGGGGCCCTTTTTTTTTTAATACTTTGGTATTTCCCTAATGTCTTTAGGGGATTTTGACCCTCTGATGCTTTCCGCTCTTTGCCCAGACACCTCTTCAAGTTCATATATTTTCTCCTTCCTGTTCTGTAAGAGAGAACTTTTATTTGGAGTCTCCCTTTTTGTGACCACCTCTGGAAGTCTCTTTGCTAAGACACAAATCTTTCATAGACAGAGATTCTTAATAGAAAAGCAAGACTAATATAGAATCATAGAATTGCTAAGGTTGGAAAAGTTCTCCAAGATTGAGTCCAACCATTAACCTAATGTTGCCAGGTTCACCACTAAACCATTTCCCCAGATGCCACATCCACACATTTTTTGAATACTTCCAGGGATAGTGACTCAACCACTTCCCTAGGCAGCCTGCCCCGATGCCTGAAAACCATTTCAGTTAAGAAAGTTTTCCTCTTAGCCGATCTGAACTTCCACTGCTGCAACTTGTGGCCATTTCCTCTTGTCCTGTCCTTGTTACCTGGAAGAAGAGGCCAACCTCCAGTGGGCTACAATGTCCTTTCAGGTAGTTGCAGAGCACAATAAGGTCTCCCCTGAACCTCCTTTTCTTCAGGCTGAACAATTTCAATATGAAACTATTGGCATAATGACTACTTGCATTGTGCTGGAATTCCTTGTAGTGCAGGAAGGGATTGATGTGCAGGCTGTACTTACATATTCATTTTGTTTGAGGAAGGGATGATACTAGCTGAATATAAAATGATCTGAATATTATCTGTGTGTCTGGATTTCTCAGGGATCTAACCACTCAATTCACAGATAACTTATGATATAGAAAAGAAGAAAGCACTACATTTTCAGTGTAGAGAGAACATAGATTTATCTTTCGATACTTCAGTGCTCTGCTTGGCAACTCTTTGGCATGATCTGAAGTATTAGGCCACTTAACGGTTCTGGGATCACCAAACAGCAACTACCGTGTTAGATCAAAACAGTTAACATCAAGCTACTGACCCAAGTGTGTAACCCAGGAGAACCTGGGCAGGACTTGGTGTGGTTAGCAGTTTGCTGGTAAAGCAAGAACAGAGAGTCCCTGCTGTTATAATCTCAGGTGTGGGGTGTTGTGTCCTATGTGCACACAGAAGGGAAAGGCAGCACATCAATGGCCTGTGAGCCATCTGCCCATCTTCTACTCCTGCACTTGTTCAGCCCCATCCCCACCCCACACAGCACTCCCCCTTGCCAGAGTGGAAGAGAAGAGTTACCTGGAGATGGAGGGAAGCCGCAGCCTGCAGTGAGAACTATCTGCCCCTTGAGTTAGTTGTTGAGAAGTGGTTATTGAAGTAAGGATGTCTGATTTGATGAGCCTTTCATGCATTGCTTGCCATGCAACTTTGTGTACAGATTCCAGCTGACCCACTGCTGGCACGGAGCAAATAGGAATGCAATAAATGGTAATGAAAAACCTTTTAGTTAGTGTAGATCTAGGAGCAGTTTCATATCTACTTTTTATGTGCTTGATTGAATTGCAAATTATTGTCATTTTGCCAGTTGTCTTGCATCCTGGTGTCCCTACACATGCTACCGACTGTCCTAATCTATATCACCCCATTCCTCAGAAGTGCCTAAAGTCAGGTAAACCACACTTACCTGTGGCTTTTACACTGACAGTGATAGGCATAGGAGAAAGCGCAGTTCAGCAATTAGGATGCATACACGAGAAAAGGCCCCTATCATGAAACCAAAGCTCATGGGATATGCTAAGGTGTTTTTCCCACCTGGGACTGGTATATTTGACTTTAATCTCCTCTTCTGAACAGGCATGGCAGTGATTTTAAGCAGCTATGTCACCCTACTGAAAAAAAAAAGTGATCTTATCCTAGTCAGCCTTATCTGTGAGTAGGCAGGGTAGGACCATGCCCAGGATGATGCTTTGTTTGAGAGTCCTGCTGTGACTTTGGCAGCAGGAAGGCCTCTGAACAGTCACTAGAGAGATTCTCAGTACCTGGAGATTTTACTGACAGAGGGAATGAAGGACTTTTGAGGCTGAAGGCAGTATTTGAGGGGATTTGTGAAGATTTCTGTAGCATCTAGATGCTGGATATGTGTTTTGGGTATCAATCTCAAAAAAAAATTAACGCCAAGCATAACTTTGTGCAGAGTTCATCATGGTAACATGACGTGTGGTTTGTTCA